TGGTCCTTGATGGAAACTCATGCTGAAAGCTTTATTGGAGGTGTCACTGCTCCAAAACTATTGGAGTGAGGTGCTTGGGAAACCGGCCAACTGGGACTGGAAGTAAAAGCCTCTTCATTGCCCTCTGCTGACAAAAATTAGCATGCCAACTGACAAAGGTACATTTACACACAACAGACAGGAACCATGAAAATCAAAATATCAGGCAAAAGGGTGATAACCAGAACTGGACCATGTCATTGCTCTTTCTAACCAGTCAGTATTCCCTTCCAGAACAAAGCCCCATACTGAGGACAAACTTGGAAATAGAATCCAAATTGAGCTGCACAGGGACAAAGACAAAGACAAAGGAAAGAGAATGCTCAGGTAAAAGTTGGGGCGGGAAATAAGCAAGGTATTGCAGAAAGTAAGCCACCATACTCTTGCCACTCCATAAAAAATATTAAGAGGGAGTATTAGGAAGGTTATGTTGACCCATATTGGCAAAAATTAAAACAGGAGACTTCAGAAAGTTCATGGAAAGATTTACCTTTCAAGTCTTCTTTATTTTTCATATGAATGTTTGGAAAAAAAATCTTATATGAAGAACACAGTAGATTCAAGGTTAAATTCCTTTCAAAGGATATTCAGATAATGATAATTTTCATTTGTAAAAATATATTTGACTCGAATAATTTTTAAATTGTTGTCAGGGATAGAATTGGCTCTTCCATCTCAAGTTTGCCAACCCCTGTTCTAGACTGTAGGTACCCAGACTTATATGACAAATCACACCCTTTTCAGAAAAAAAATTACTTAGTGCTCCCCTGGCCATGAAAACTTTGGTACAATAACCCACAACAGAGGATAAAGTGTAGGTATCACTTTTGTAGTGCATGCCTCACCCACACCCCACCTTGGATTGTTCCAGCACCCGCCAGGGGCAATGCTACCCACTTTAGGAAACACTACTATCAATATGTAAAGCACACCAATGAGAAAAGACCACAAAACAAAAACTTTGACCTTAAAGCTTCCCTTAGCCATATTAGAAAATGGTGTAAGTCTAGAAGGATCGACGAGAAAAACTGAGAAATTAGTTATAACTTAGGGAAGAAATTGAAAGTAGTAAAAGATTTCAGATAAATGATGATTGCAAAGCAACACTAATGTCTTAGGCATAATAGAGGATGATAATTTTTAAACTGAAGAAAGTTAGAGTTGAGGAAAAGTGGGATGTGGGCAAATGTTTGGTTTTTAAGGGGAGAATCAATATGCACATAAAAGAAGTCCTCCCCAAAAGAAGACCAAAGCAAAAGAATAACTCAAACACTAAAAACTTATTCAAAAAAATTTCTTGATTTGAAACTATAGATTGAAAGGGCAGCCAGAATGACCAACACTTTCTTAAAAGAGCTAGTCTGCCAAAGGACTGAAATAGAAAAAGAAAATAACCTTTGGTCATCCGGGCATAATGACCAAGTGACTAATAAGGGAAAGAAAGGTACCCTGACCAGTTGCTTTGAATGTCCTCCACCTGCGTTGTCTAGTAATTCCTTCCCAGGGAGATGCAGAGTTCCAGATATGCTGACGACCTTAAGTGTGGCTCATTATAATTTAAATATGTAGTCACTTGGGAACACTATTTACTATACACTTAATTGTACATTTAAAATGAGAAGTTGGGCAAAGTATAGCGTTAGCTATATGCTCAAGGTAGATGCCATATGATTTTTTATTTTTTTAAAGTGAGAGAATCAAGGAAGCATGTCCCAAAATACTTTTCAGTAATTATATTGGTGTTAGGATTAGTATTCTGAAACTTGTATGTAATATGAGATGAAGTGATTAAATGTGATTCTTCCATTATTTGTGTTCAAAAGAGGGTTCCCGGGGTAGAAAAAAGAAAATGCAGATATGAGATAAGGACTGGATTTTAATTAGCAATACTAATAAATCATGAGTTGCTTTCTTTGAAAATGTGTATACATGAGGAGGGTATTTCACGCAGTTTGTAGGGAAATCCCATTACCTTTTTATTCCATATTTTCAGGAGCTACTTGTTTTGTCCCTTGTGAATATTTTCAGGCTCTGTCCCCTGAAACTACCTAAAAAGAATAACAACCGAAAAGCAGTGAGTTTCTCTACTAGCTAGATTGTGATCTTACTAAAAGAAATAGGGCTTCTTAGAAAAATATCTTGTCATAATAGCCAAGAAGTAATTAAAGACAAGTAAGGTTTTACTTGAGTGATTCAAAAGCCATTTTGAAGAAGTTCCCACTGGCCAAAATGGGATAATTTGTACATCAGACTGAATAACTGCAAGAGATTGGATAACATTAAATATTAATAATCTTTGGATTCACAGTGATATTTCACTTTGTGGAATAAAAGGGATACAAGCAAAAAGTGTATTGCTGTTGAGCTCATTCCAACTCATGGGCAGAGTTTCTAGGGGTGTAGTTCTCGCAGAAGCTGACTGCCACATCTGTCTCCCAGAAGCAGTTGTTGGGTTCCAACCACAGGGCTTTTGACTGACAGCCAAGCACTAAACTGTGCCACCAGAGCTCCTTAAGATAAACTGTTTGGAAAGCTGTTAAATTAGGAGAAAGAAAACAAGCACGTATCTTTTCTATAGCAACTATCACCGTATCACCAAATAGATGAGGGAATGATTCTTTTTATGTATATTAGCTAATAATAAAGTATACTAGCTAATAAATAAGAAGCTCTGTTGGCACAGTAGTTAGTGCTTGGCTTCCAGTCAAAAGATTGGTGGTTTAAATTTACCACCTCCGCTGTGGGAGGAAAGGGAAGTAATCCGTTTCTGTGAAGGGCAGTTTTACTCTGTCCTATAGGGTCCCTGTGAGTCAGAATCGACTCTGGCTGTGGGGTTTTGTTTGTTTAACTAATAGAGAGGAATGATAAAATTAGAAAATAATTGTATTGTAGCTTGTGATGAGTCAATAGTTTTAGGCTTTGAGCATCAATGTCTGCCAATATTGCAGACAAGTGACAACAAGGTATCTCCTAATAAAAGAAGTACATCACCACAAAAAGATGCCTGTACCACTGCCTCCTTCTCAAAAAAGACTTATCTTGGAATCCAGTTACCAAATTTTAGGAAGTGGGTCAGAAAACTTAGGTACATTTTACAATGGGATTGCAGCAGCAAAATCCAGATTATTGGAAACTACTGGTAAGTTATAAATGCACACGTAGGTGATAAAAAGAAAGCAAAAACTGGTTACCATTAATTGAATTAATGATTCTTTATAATTTTTTAAATCGATGCTTTTTAAAAAAATAAGTAGAAAGATCAACGATAACATGTAAATTGGAGCAATCTCTGAGAACTAGATGGAATGTGGAAGCACACAGGCTGTTTGAGAAAAATAAGCCAACCATAGCTTATCTGTGGGAACTCCTGCCTATACTACTCCATCCAAAGAAGTACATTTATCTGTTCATACTCTGTCACTGGTGTGTCTTTTATTTAATTAATTGGAAGTTTGTATCTCTGCTAGTGGCTCTGAACCTTCATTGGTTGCAAACCGTATATGTCATAGGACTCTACTCCCTGGAAATTCTAGTTCAGAAGCTAGTTCAGTATACTGAGCATTTTGTTTATGTGTGCCTCTTTAAGTGTTTCCTGGGAAATTTGGATGATAGAGCTATTTCCCTACCAGGCTGTAAAAATTGGAGACCAGTGCCAATGACACCACACATCCTGATTGACTATTAAGCCCAATATATTGCTGTTAACACATTTCCATCTTTTCCCTTGTCTCTGTATTTCTGTTGCTTTCCGCATGCTCCTGGACTATGGAATTGGTCTCTCAACTGATAATTAAATCGTTAACTCCTTTTTTAAAGATTCTACAAAAAGGATTCTTGTAAAGGGAGATTGGATTATTGTAGCACTGCATAAAAATTTCATCTCCACAGCTGCAGAATAAAATTCAAACTCCCTAAAAATACCCCACAATCTGGCTCTTGCCTACCTACTTCTCTTCCTCCACAGACTGGTCCTTTCCTTTTCTAGCATGTGGAACTATTTGTTGTTGTTTTTTTTCTTTTTGTGAGTGAATTAGTGAGAGAGTGAGTCAGTGAGTGAGAGAGTGAGAATGAGTGAATTAGAGAGAGAGAGTGAGTGAGTCAGTGAATGAAAGTGAGTGAGAGAGTGAGTCAGTGAGTGAGTGAATGAGAGTTAAGTGCGAGAGTGAATGAGAGTGAGTGAGAGAGTGAGTGAGTGAGTGAGTGAATTAGAGAGAGTGATTCAGTGAATGAAAGTGAGTGAGTCAGTGAGTGAGTGAGAGTGAGTGAGTGAGTGAGTGAGTGAATCCATGTGGAACTATTTGCAGATCTCTAAATCTCCTTTTTTCTCTTCTTGATGTCCCTGGAGATTTCACCCAGAATCACCTCATCTCCATCTTTGGAGCACATCTTTATGGTTTCTTTATAGCCACCACCCCCACTGAGACATTTCTTTATACCACTTTTCTTTCTAATGGAATTATGCATCCTTTTCCTTAGTACTTACTTTTCCTTCTTCTCGTGTCAGTTTTTACCATTGGACCCACCCATGAGTTTATCTTTGTACCCTGTGAAGACTAGGAAGGGGTGATTCTTAATTGCCTTTGTGTGGTACGTAGTCTCCTCTACACTGAAGCACTCTTGGAACTGTAATGAATACCATCACTCAGCAGATTGTCCTCCTCATGTCTGAAAAAAAACAGATTCAGTCTTATTTATTCAACTTTTATGTGTCTTCTATTTGGTATATGTATCCTATAGAAATATGAGAACTTTCACTTTTTATATTTTACAAATATAAGGTCCCTTTTAGATTGAAATGGAACCCAAACAATTCCAAAATTTATGAGAAGACTGATTTAATTTTGCATTAGTAAGTGCTGCTAATATCCTTCGTGATGGCTATTTTGCAAATAAGAGGAAGAAGAAAAAATGCCAAGATATTTGGCTTTCTGTATCAACCATTAATATCCCTTTTTCCCTAGCCTTCTTTGAATCCAGAAGCTGGCAAACAGAATCAGCTATGCAGACCTATTGGGACCCCTTCAGGAGTGTGGGGTAGGTAGATTTTGCCATTTTAAAGGAAAAATTTAATTTTTTTTTCTTACAAGGGAGCAGAGGAAAATTTTCTCTTGTTTGTTTCTTTATCTCTTGTTTCTCATCTCATCTATTCCCCATGGTAACTAACACTTGTTGGCCCTTCATTAATCCAAGTGGCTCTAAATATAGCAATTACTATGCCCCAGAAATACCAGTGAAAGGTAATTACTGTCATAGTCAAAGTCGAGACAATGGAGAGCTAGTAGATTCTTGAATCTGAAAGATTTTAAGTAGAAAGAAAAATATATAAAGATAATATGTAATACAAAAGGGGGCAGTTTTTAATTAACATTGCTAATTCACTTCTATTGTATTTTAATTGTTTTTGATTATGTGTTTCCTAAATATATTGTGGGGGAATATAGCAACATTTCCTCAACATTCCTCCATGTTACTACATATTCTGCACACGTTTGCTTTTATTGGTTATGCAATACCACATCCTTCGTACCATTTTGTTCAATTAGCCTGCGACTGTTGGATGTTTTTTTGACAGTTAAACTTGATGATTGTTTTATAAAGCAGAAGGAAAACCTAAACATGTTTATATATATTAGGGGCCCTGGTGGTGCTGGTGGGTAAGCATTGCATTGGACTGCTAACTGCAAGGCAAGGAATTCAAACCCACTAGCTGTTCAATGGGAGAAAGATAAAGCTTTCTGCTCCTGTAAAAGTTTAAAGGCTCAGAAACTGTATATAAGATTGCTGAGTCAGAATCAACTCGATGGCAGTAGGTTTCGGTATATGTTTATGTTGAGGAAAACTAACTTTATATATAAAACAGGTGAATCATTTTTTATCAATCCAAATCTGATCTTGGGGTTTGGGGCACTTATAAATTGTACTCTTCTGGTCCTTCCATTAGGCATGTTGAGTAGCCAAGCATCTTGCAGTGAAGCCCTTCAGATCATAACTAAATAAATTTACTATAGTGTATCTTTTCCTGTTAGTGGTTATGTAGTTTGAGTTTGCTTCATTATAGGGTTCCATGGCAGGCTTCTTTTCTCCTCTGTCATTCTCATGCTGACACAAGTGGCTCCTCAGATAAGGGCCTGTTTGGGTCCTGCCTGAATGGTCACACCATAAATTAGACAGGTTATGCCTCTGACCGAGTGCTAACATCTTGAGTTTTCTGGATGATTTGGGGGTTCAGTATCAAATGCTTCATCTACTGATTTTCTTTCCTACAGTTCTCAATTAGTGTCACTTCAAGAATTATCTGCTAAATGCACATCAGGAAATACTTGCTCCTTAGTCTTAACTGTCAGCTCTTCAGTAAAAGGGGAGCCCTTTGTATAGAGCTGTGCTTTGTGTTACTCCTCAGGTTTGACAGTGTTTTGTCTCTCTATTACTGTATTCACAGAAAACCCCCCTAGTGCCAAGCAACCCTCCAAGATGCTGGTCATCAAAAAAGTTTCCAAAGAAGATCCTGTTGCTACGTTCTCTGCTGCATTCACTTCACCAGGATCTCACCATGCAAATGGGAACAGATCTTCAACTGTGGTCCCAAGTGTTTATAAGAACCTAATTCCTAAGCCTGCACCACCTCCTTCCAAGGTATGTTGTGGAATCCATATAAAAACTTTGTATAGTAGAGATATGAAAAAATCAGGGTGGGGTGAGTAGTAAATTTATTTTTTTCCTGATGTCATTCACTTGATATTTATTCTGTACCTGCTGTATGGATATTGTATGTATATACTGTTGCCATGCTACCAAACTGCGTTTTTAGCAGACCTCTCAAGTTTCATCTCATGAACCTGCTTCTCTTGATTGACTGTTTCCATTAACAGCATCAACATTAATTTTTCCTTATTTTCCTTAGCCAAGCAGTTACAAAGTCCTTTTATTCCTCTCTGTTGTCATAGTTTATAGTTTCGGCCTTAGTCATTTCGTTTGTTATTGTAATGGACCTTTCTAGTTTCTCCTAGCTACAAGTATCCTCCACTTAGACTTTGAATGGCTTTTACTCTTCTAAATTCTGAATATCCTTTCCTGCCCTAACTCCTTTTAGTGAATCCAAACCATTTATAAACTAAAAACCTCAGTGCCATCTAGTTGTTTTCAACTCATAGCGACCTTATAGTATATGGTAGAACTGTCCCTGCGGGTTTCTGAGACTAGCTCTTTACAGGAGTAGAAAGCCTCATCCTTCTCCCGTGGAGCAGCTGTGGTTTGAGACTGCTGGCTTTGGGTTAGCAGCCCAACACATACCCATTGTGCCACCAGGGCTCCTAGACATTAAAGCAGGGATCAACTGTGGTTTTGTTTTAAAGAGTCAGATAATAAATATTTTAGACTCTGCTAGCCAAAAATGGTCTTTATTGCATATTGTTCCAATTTTTTTAAAACAATGCTTAAAATGTAAAGCTCATGTGCCATACAAAAACAGGCCTAAAGCCAGATTTAGCCCATGGATTGTAGTTTTTTCAGCCTTAGAATTTGTTGTTCAAACTTATTAGCAATGATTTTTAGTCTGGTCCATCTTTTACATCATATTGCTCCTTCTTTCTACTATCTGGAGAACTATTTACCATGATCCATGCTCATGTCAAACCCTGACATTTTATAGTATATCCATCTATAGATGTAATTCTTTTTCTTTTTTCATTTGAGCAGGGAAACTTGTTTTATTTTTTACCTTTCCTTCTTTCCAGATAACCCTTTCTGCATTCCCCCCTGGTTTAATCACCACCACATACAGGAATTCCTGTTCTCCTCCTGGCACACTTTCTCTCAGGCAGGGCAGTGACACAACTGCACCAATGGCAACAGTAGCTTTTACCCCAATACACGGTGGCAGGGATGCAACGTTGATGGTGGCTGGATTTTTCCTGTGGTCCCCCCACTCCCCCCACGTCCTCTGTTTTTGGCTCCTCTATCTATAACCAGACATGTAATTCTATCTCCATGGTTGCATAGCAATCTGTGTGTTCTGTCACAATAACATAACACTTTGTTGATACGTTTCTTCACTTACTGTCACTTCCTTTGGGATCAGGAGGAGTTCATCTTCTTAATAAAAATTGTATTCTTACGAACCTCACATGAACACATTTTAACTTAGAATCCTAGCCACCATAAAAAAAACAAATCATGGCCGCGCGTGTCTGCCCGTGTGTCCGCCCGTCTGGCCCGCTGCGCCGTCTCTCTGCCATCATTCCCATGTTCGTGGTAAACACCAACGTGCCCCGCGCCTCTGTGCCCGACGGGCTGCTCTCCCAGCAACTGGCGCAGGCCACCGGCAAGCCGGCCCAGTACATCACCGTGCACGGGGTCCCCGACCAGCTCATGGTGTTCGGCGGCTCTGGCGAGCCGTGTGCCCCCTGCAGCCTGCACAGCATTGGCAAGATCAGCGGGGCGCAGAACCGCACCTACAGCAAGCTGCTGTGCGGCCTGCTGGCCCGGAAAGGATCTGCATCAACTGTGACATGAACGCCGCCAACGTGGGCTGGAATGGCTCCACCTTCGCCTGAGACCCCTCCCTGCCCCAGCAATAAACGGTTCAGAGACAAAAAAAAAACCATCATTAGAGTTTACTGTGTTGCTGGGAGGTAAAACAGTGATGTGTGATTGGTGCCTATGGACAATACAAAGAACTCTATTATCAGCTGTGACCCACCCACCATGAGTTCATAGTCCAAGTGAGATAATAAGATATAGCAATATGAAATGTGAAATGATATCTATGAAATAATAACAGATCCTAAAATTAACAGATCAAATTATAGGGATAACCACCATCCTGTGGGTTTCTGAGACTATAATTGTTTATGGGAGTAAAAAGCCCAGTCTTTCTCCCGCAGAGCTGCTGGTCATTTCCAACTACCGACCATGTGTCTCAGTCCAACTCGTAACCCCTGCACCCCTAAATAGAAAAGGTATTTAAATAAAAAATCTGAAATCATAAAGTACTAGTCATGTTAAGGATACTGAATGAACGTATTAATAATTCTTGTATTTTCAGTTTTGTGAATTTAGTGGAGGGGTGGGTTACATTTCAGACCAACTCTGCTTTCAACAGTTCGAACCACTTAGCATTCCCAGGTCACCCCATATTACACACAAAAAATATCTTTTCTCCCTCTTAGGGATCTCTTTCCTTCCTTTCACCTAAGTAAATACTTCTCAGCCTTCAAATTCATTGTTCATCTTCCCATTCTTGTCCTTCTTCCCTTTGGAACCTCCCCAAGTCTATTCCCTTTGGCAGGCAAGTCTCTGCCTGGCTTTTACCCTGGTAGTAGTAGTCTCATACAGTATTTGTCCTTTGATGATTGACTACCTTCACTCTGTATAATGTGCTGTGAGCGCATCCATGCCATGCAGCCCTCCTGGTTTCGTTGTTTTTAGTGAGACATAGTTATTCTGCTATGTTTACGATCTAGTGTGGAAACAGATGTAAAAACTGAGTGTACGCTCTCCTGAACAAAGTGTGGAAAATCTGTGTAGACAAAGTCTGAGTTGAACTGAGCTTTGAAGTGGCCAAGGAAAGGGAACTAGATCTGTTGATGCCTTAAGATGTTCCTAGACTTCTACTAGACCTTTATATATATGTGTGTAGATGTATATGTATTGTATATCATCTAATCCTGGGTTGTATGTCATTGTTGTGTTCATGCCAACTCACTTTTAACTCATAGCCACCTACATACAGCAGAAAAAGACACTGCCCGGTTCTGTATCACTCTCACCATCTGCTATTTTCGATCCAGTTGTTGCAGTCACAGTGTCACTTGGTCTTCTGCTTTTTCACTGACGCTCTGCTTCATGGAGCATGGTGTCCTAGGAACTGGCTCCTCATGGTAGTGTGTCCAAAGTATGTAAGGCAAATCTTACCGTCCTCGTTTCTCGGGAGCATTTTGGCTGGACATCGTACAATACATTTATTTGTTCTTCTGATAGCCCCTGGTGTAAACAACCATAATTCAAGGGCATCAATTCTTTTCCCATTTTCCTTATTTACTGTCCAATTTTCCTATGCATAGGAAGTAATTGAAAATGTCATGGCACACACCAGCCTGTATGATCTCAAGGTGTTGAAGGGATCAGGTATCAAAGAACAAAAAATCATTTCATTGTGAATGAGGGGGAAGTGCAGAGTGGAGACCCAAAGCCCATCTGTAGGCAACTGGACATCCCCTTACAGAAGGGTCGGGGAGGAGACGAGCCACAATCAGGGTGCAGTGTAGCAACGATGAAACATACAACTTTCCTCTAGTTATTAAATGCTTCCTCCCCACTCACTATCATGGTCCCAATTCTACCTTACAAATCTGGCTAGACCAGAGGATGTACACTGGTACAGATAGGAACTGGAAACACAGGGAATCCAGGACGGGTGATCCCTTCAGGACCAGTGGTGAGAATGGTGATACCGGGAGGGTGGAGGGAAGGTGGGGTAGAGAGGGGGAACTGATTACAAGGATCTACATATAACCCCCAACCAGGGGGATGGGCAACAGAAAAGTGGGTGAAGGGAGACATCAGTGTAAAACATGAAAAAATAATAATTTATAAATTAGCAAGAGTTCATGAGGGAGGGACGGAGGGTGGTGGTGGGAAATGAGCTGATACCAAGGGCTCAAGTAGAAAGCAGATGTTTTGAGAATGATGATGGCAACACATGTACAAATGTGCTTAATGCAATGGATGGATGGATGGATTTTGATAAGAGTTGTACGAGCCCCAATAAAATGATTTTTTTTTAAAACCGAAAATATGGCATTGGCTCAGGTACACCTTAGTCTCAAAATGGTACTTTAAAAAATTTTTAACACTTTAAAAAGGTCTTTTGAGCAAATATGAGTACTGCAGACTGATACTTTGATTTCTTGCTGTTTCTTCATTAGCACTGATTGTGGAATTAGATACAGTTAAATCCTTGAAAACTTGTATTTTTTTCTCCATTTATCATGATGTTTCTTGCAAGTCCATTGAATAAGTATAGTGAAAGGTTTTCCTGATTTTAAACCACGTAATCTTCTTTTCTCTTGTTTCAATAGCTGACTACCTCCAGTATTTACAGGTTCCATATGATCACAGTGCTAAATGCTCTGCAATTCTCATTCTTCACAGTTACCCTTAATTGAGTATGATCCACAGTAAATGACTCTCCATATTCACTAAATGAAACATAGGTAAACATTTTTCTGGTATTCCCTGCTTTCAGTCAACATCCATCTGGCATCAACAGTAATATCCCTCAGTCCCCATCCTCTTCTGCATCTGGCTTGAATGTCCCTATTGATATAGTGCTGTGACTGGGTTTTTAATTATCTTCAATAAAACTTGCACAAACCAAGTTTTTTATATTGTTCAATAATTTATACCTTATTTTGATCACCTTTCTTTGGAATGGGCACATAGAGTTATATCTTCCAGTTGATTGGCCCAGATGAATGAGCACTTCCAATGTTGCTCTTGTTTGTTTAAGCATCTCGATTGGTATTTCGTCAATTCCTGGAGCCCCATTTTTCATCACTGCCTTTAAGTACAACTTGGACTTGTTTTATTACAAATAGTTCTTGATCTTCTGCAGTGTCTTAAAGTGGTTGAAAATAAACCAATTCTTTGTGGCACAATGACTGGATTCCTTTCATCTTTCTAACATTGTCATTCGAGGCTTGAACTTTTTTTGCCTCTGTTCTTTTTATTATTATTATTTTATTGGGGGGCTTTTACAAATCTTATGACAATCTATCATTCAATTGTAGGGAACCTTTTTATTTTTCGCCTTGTACATTTAGATGTTTACATTCTTAGCGTGATTTCTAAGTCAAGGCTCACGTATTTATTTCAGCTGTGGGAAGGTATTCAATTGTATTAAGCACACTTGTACCTAAGTTGGCATCAACATTTCCAAAACAGTTTATTTCTCCTTGAGCCCTTAGCATCAGCTCCTCTGTTTTCCCCTCCCTCCCTCTTCTGTTCTTTATTTAAGAAAGACTAAGCATGTTCTTCTCTTGGTTGTCTTAACTCCAGTTCTTTGCACATTTTTTTTTTCTAATACTGTCTTTTCATCTTACCTTTTAAAATTTTTCATGCCAGTTGCCTGATTTACTTTAGGGGCAAGTTTTAAGAGTCTGCTGACATTCCTTTTATTTTTTTTTCTGGGTATAGTGTACTTTATTGATGGTACATGACAAGGTCGAGTTTTCTAAGCCCCTCCCCTTCCTTCAGGGGTCTGGATGGAATATTCTCAGTGTGTTGGGGGATTGAATTAGGGGCAGAGACTCCCCAGCAGCTGAGGGCCTCTCTCTCTTGCTCTAGCGCTGTTGCTGGGGCTGGTGGTCCAGGGGGGCTCTTAGTCCTTGGAGGCCATGTGGACCATGAGGTCCACCACTCTGTGGCTGTAGCCAAATTCATTGTCAGACCAGGAAATGAGCTTGACAAAGTGGTCGTTGAGGGCAATGCCAGCCCCAGCATCAAAGGTGCAAGAGTGGGGGGTCACCGTTGAAGTCACAGGAGACAGCCTGGTCCTCAGTGTAGTCCAGGATGCCCTTTAGGGGACCATCTTGATGTCATTGTACTTGGCAGCTTTCTCCAGACGACAGGTGAGATCCACGATGGACACATTGGGGGTGGGGACACGGAAGGCCATGCCAGTCAGTTTCCCATTCAGCTCCTGGATAACCTTGCCCACAGCCTTGGCAGCGCCAGTAGATGCGGGGATGATGTTCTGAGCAGCCCCACGGCCATCACGCTAGAGTTACCCTGAGGGGCCATCCACAGTCTTCTGGGTGGCAGTGATGGCATGGACTGTGGTCATGAGTCAGTCCACGATGCCAAAATTGTCATGGATGACCTTGGCCAGGGGGCCTAAGCAGTTGGTGGTGCAGGAGGCATTGCTGACAATCTTGAGGGAGTTGTCATACTTCTCGTGGTTCACGCCCATCACAAACATGGGGGCGTCAGCAGAAGGGGCAGAGATGATCACCCTTTTGGCACCACCCTTCAAGTGAGCCCCAGCCTTCTCTACGGTGGTGAAGACACCAGTGGACTCTACGACATACTCAGCACCGGCCTCAGCCCACTTGATGTTGGCGGGATCTCGCTCCTGGAAGATGGAGATGGTCTTCCCATTGATGATAAGCTTCCCATTCTCAGCCTTGACAGTGCCATTGAACTTGCCGTGGGTGGAATCATACTGGAACATGTAGACCATGTAGTTCAGATCAATGAAGGGGTCATTGATGGCAACAGTTCCACTTTGCCAGAATTGAAAGCAGCCCTGGTGACCAGGCAGGCGCCCAATGCGGCCAAATCCGTTCACTCCGACCTTCACTATGGTGTCTCAGGATGCGGCTGGGACTGCACGGGAACGGGAGAGGGGGCTGTCTGTTGCACGAGGAGGAGCAGAGAGCTGCTGACATTCCTTTTGGCTTACTTCCCTTTTTAAAAAGTAACCTCTCACTTTCTTCATGTAGTCTTGTCCTTGATTTCATCCCACAACTGGTCTGGTCTTTGGTCATTAGTGTTCAGCCCATCAAATTTATTCTTAAAATGGTGTCAAGATTCAGAGATATACTCAAGGTTGAACTTTGTTTCGTGTGGACATGTTTTAATTTTCTTCAGCTTCAACTTGAACTTGCATAAGAGCCATTCATGGTCTTTTCCTCAGTCAGTTCCTGGCCTTGTTCTGACTGAAGATACTGAGCTTTTTCCATCATCTCTTTCCAGATTAGATTCCTGTATATTTCTTCTTTCTGGGTCTACATGTGTATTCTATTCTGACTCATAACTATCCTATAGGGCAGGCATCAACTGCCCCTTTGGGTTTCGGAGACTGTTCACAAGAGTAGAAAGCTTCTTCTTTCTCTCATGGAGTGGGCTGCTTCTTTTTAACTTCTGCCTCTGAGGTTAGTATCCCAATGTTTAAACATAGTTCCTTGCTTAGGTCAATGGTCCTGTGAGCTTCAGTGATTCCGGTATCACTTCTTAACACCAATGCCATATTTCCTCATCATTGATTCTTCTTTGTTTCTGCATTCTGGTCACTAGTATAATCATCAGGGAATCTTGGTTGCATGTTTGGGTGAATTCACACTGCAGAAGTTGATAAAAATTGCCTGTTGGTTTATCTTTGTTATTTGTGAGTGAAGGGTAGATTTGAATAACAGTCACATTAACTGGTTGCCCTAGCAGGCACATATATGGGTATTATCCTATCACCAACACCATTCTATTTCAGGATACATCTTAAAATCTTCATTTTTCTAATGGATGTAATAACTGTTCCTTGTCAGTTTTTCATTCCATAAACAAGAGACCATATGATTGTCCAAAGTGGCCAATACCAACCCATTTGGCTCACTAATGCGTAGTGTATTGATTATCAAGCTATTTAATTTCATTCTGACAGATACTGATTTTTCTAGATTTATCTTTAAGAGTCCATGTTCCAAGTAGTACTGGATGCTTGCAGCTTTTTCTTTTCATTTTGGTCAGTCATAACAGAATGAACAGATGTAGGATGAGAGCTATCAAAGGAACTTGAAGTCAGAGGAGAGAATTGGGGATTTGGGCATCCAGTTTTGATCTTCATTTGATCAGTTGAAGTGAAGAGAGTTGCGGTTGATTTGGAATCTGGCAGAAAGAGCCCATTTTTTAAACTTGGAGTTCACTTTAGTGGATTTTTAGAAATACATTAATTAAAAAGCATAATGACATATAATGGTTTTTGTTAGGAGGCAGCCAGTTATACTATATACTTTTTAAGAGTTACTGGAAATTGAGGTTAAGTTGGAATGAAAATGTGCAGAGGTGTTAGTATCCTGGTTAGTGTAAGATTCTGTATGCACAGTACATTGGCAAAAATCCAAAGTTTTGCATTCAGTTTTAAAAACAAGTCTCCTAGTGCACATGTGAAAGAAGCCACAAATAATCTTTACTAATTAACCAGACAAATCTTTGGATTTTCATCAGTGTGATTTTTTTTTTTTTTTACCATATGCCTTTTTTTTAAAGATCATTTTATTGGGGACTTTTATAACAACTTATAAAAATTCAGACATCAGTTGTATCAAGTATATTTGTACATATGTTGCCATCATTATTTTATAAACATTTACTTCCTATTTGAGCCTTTGGTATTAGCTCCTATTTTTTCCCCACCCACCCACCCACCCTCAGGACCCCTTGGTAATTATAAGTTGTTATTTTCATATCTTACAATGACCGCTGCCTTCCTTCCCTCACAGTTTTTGCTGCTCAGTCCCCTGGGGTGGGGATGGAGGTGGATGTTAGGTGTCAGTATTGCGTGGTTCCCCCTTCCTCCCCTCCACCTCCCACCTTTCCCCTACCCTCCTGGTATCACTACTCCCATTTCTGTCCCTAAGGGATTTATCTAACCTGGATTCCATGTGATGTGAGCTCTTAACCGCACCCCAGTGAATGTGCTCCGGTCTAGCCAGAACTGAAAGGCAGGACTGGGGTCCTGATGGTGGGGGTTGAGGGTTGAGGAAGCCTCCAAGAACCATAGGAATCTTGTGTGTTCCATAAAAATAAAAAATTAACATTTATTGTGATTGGTTCATTGGCTCTCTCAATTTGCCTAGATGTTCTTATTTAAGACAGTGTAGGATAGTGAAAAAGTAATTTCCCTTAGTAGCTGAGTAACCTTGACAAATTTTATGACTGCTTCATGCTCATTTTCATTCTCTGTCAAAAGAAAACAGATTAATAATTATACCTGATAGTCTTCTTAAGGATTACGTAAAATAGTATGCCATGCACCTGGTACAAGGTAGATACTCAGTGGATACTTTACCAATATCTTTGTTGCCCCTCAGCAAGGTTGACACCAAGGAAAGAAATGGTTTTCAGATTGTTTTTTAATCCTTGAAGTCATTTAGTTTTAATTCTGCTATTCTAGAAAAACTGATTGGAAGCTTTTCCATTGTTTTGTGTGTTTTTTTAACCTCCCTTTTCTTTGTCTACTTGGTACAATTGGATCTGAAACAAAAAACAGTGTTTTAATGATCCTATTCCAGTTATATACTATGTCATCATTATTTGAGCCAAAGTGACACAATGGCTCTCCAGGCTCCTTGGTGCTGAGCAAAAGAAGAGCCTCTGGAATAAACCAGTATTCACTAGCTGCTTACTTATCTACCTTGTTCTGAAACCAGCCTCTTCTGCATCAGAGTTCCTGGGAAACTACTTTTAGCTTTGTATGATACCAAGGTTGGACTGGAGGTTAGCAAGGTGACTCTAGAAGAAAATACTAATGGTCAGAAAAGTTTTATAAGTGCTAAATATCATATTAACACCAGTTCAATGCTTTGAGAAGTAACATAGTAAAGAATATTTATTAGTATCCTGTGGCTCTTTGGTTTCCATATTCATTTTTCCTTCAAGTACCTAACCTCAGAAATAGATTGCATAATTCAGAAAGATGTTAGAGTGGGTAAGTTCTGGGGACTTCTGTTCATGTTCTTTAGCACCTTACTCTTAGGATCTTTTTAGCTGAATTTCTATTTGTATGCTTTTTTAGACTAATTAATTATTTTTTCCTCTGTAGCCCAGTGCATGGAAAACTAATAGAATGGAACACAAATCAGGATCTCTTTCTTCAAGTCGGGAGTCTGCTTTTACCAGTCCGATCTCTGTTACAAAACCTGTGGTCCTGGCTGGTGGCACAATTCTAAACTCCCCCAGAGAGGTGAGTGAGGGTTAAGTAGGGAAGCACTTGCTAAGCTTACCATTGACTTATGCTCAGTGCCCTGGTGTCTTAGTGAGTTGTGTGTTTTGAACTGCTAACAGCAAGGTCAGTAGTTCGAACCCATTAGCCTCTTGGGGAGAAAGAAGGGGGCCTTTGCTCCTGTCAAGGTTTACAGCCTCTGAAACTCACAGGAGCAGTTCTACTCTGTCCTATAGAGTCTACATGGCTCAGAATTAATAAGCTTGGTTTTGGTTTTTGCTATGCTGTGTATTTTGACACTACTAACATTACTGTAAATATAGCTGAGCGTAGCTGAGAATTATTTCTTTACTAATGTTTCACATCATCATTGAAAATTGGGAGTAGCTGGATGGAGTTACTGTCCTGTGATCGGGCCAGCGTTGACCTGTGTTATTCTGGCTTTCTAGTGTTACGTTAGCCAGGTCCCCTGGCTACTGTAGTTGCTTAGCACATACTTGACAGCTAACCAAATGGTTGACGGTTCACGTCTACCCTATTGGAAAAGAAGCCTGGCAATCTATTTTTGAAAAATCAGCCATTGAAAACCCTATGAGACCTCGTTCTACTCTGACATACATGGAGTTTCTCTGAGTCAAAATCAACTTGATAACACCTGATCTGTTTTATTTTGCGTTTTCTTCATCCTTTAGTTTTCACTCTGGAAAGATGTAGTCTGTTTAAATGGGAAAAAAAAAGTTGTTTGCTTTTTACAAAATCAGTGTGAATAAATAGAATCTTAGCTACACAGACATATCCCATAGAATCCCCATTCTTGCTCTTTGCTGTCAGTAGCAAACTCTTTGTGCTTTTTTGCCCAGAGCCCCTCTAGCACCACCCCGCCAATTGAGATCAGTTCCTCCCGTCTGACCAAGCTGACCCGCCGAACTTCCGACAGGAAGAGTGAGTTCCTGAAGACTCTTAAAGATGACCGGAATGGAGAATTCTCAGAGAACAGAGACTGTGACAAGCTGGAGGATGTAAGAGTATAAGGCTTTTCTGGGACAACATAGGGCGAGGAAGGAAAGGACTTTGTTAGTGTTTTCCTTTGTTAAATACCCCGGGTTTTTGTTTAAGGGAAAATGTATAGCAAGTTTTTTTTAGTGAACAGAGATTTTTGTCCATAAAGTAACAGGCAGATTAAAGCCTATAAGAAAATTAGCTGAATCCTTTGTTCAGTATACATTTCAATGACAGATGCCCTGGGTTAAGGACATCACAATCATAAAATCTTAAGCCAATCAGTACTCTAAGAAGTAGGTAATTAGCAGTGGCTTTTAGTAGTGAAGGTGCCCTGGTAGCAGAGTGGTTACACGTTGTGCTGCTAATAGCAAGGTCAGCAGTTCAAAACCACCAGCTGCTTTAAGGGAGAAAGATGAGGCTCTCTACTACTGTAAAAAGTTAGAGTTTGTAAGTTGTCCATTAAGTTGGATTTAACTTGGTGGCAGTGAGTTTGGTTTTTTGTTGGTTTTATTAGTGAGAATTGTATTTAATTGCAATAAAAGAAAAAATTGACAGCTACAGCACAGAGTGGTCTCTTTGTGTCCTGCAACAGGTGAGAGGTCCAAGAAGGTGTGGCAGCTCATTTGTATCAATGAGAAAATCTTTTACCTTTGGTCAGGTTGGAATCGGATTCTGATGTTCAGGGGTGGGGGATACCTTTAGATTTTTTGAAAATAAAGTGTTAATAAGGAAGACCAGGGGATAGATATTGCATAAACATCTAGTAGTTTCTGCTACAGTTGACATACACAAACACATACACATACACAAAAAAAAGGATAGCTCTCAATTGGTATTCTTTGGAAATCTTAGCAAGGTGAACAAGACTTTTTTTTTTTTAAGACTTCCTTTTTAAGTGAAGAAAACCTACAGATTGAGGTTGTCTTCTAGAATGTACTCTGCAGTCCTGTGGGTGGTTTTATCTTTCAACAAAACAATTGTTAAACCAGGTGCCTCTTTGCTTTCTCCGATGGCAGCTGGAGAACAGTACTCTTGAACCAAAGGAGAGTGGAGAGGAAAGCTGTCATCAGAACGGCCTTACTCTTCCATTTGCGGAGGAAAGGAGGGTCCTCTCACATTCTCTGGAAGCTGAGCACAGGTGAGTGATGATCAGATGCTGGAGAAAGACTGGGAACATACTTGAGAAGATAGAGAAAGAACCCCAACAAGCACCATACTTTGTTGCCCCATGTTGTCTTTTACTCACTGAGATTCCTCTCAGATCCGGCAGCATTTTCCCATCCCTCAGGCTTTCGAGTGGTTTCGGATGAGTCTCAAGTTTCTGGCTGCAGGGAGAGATGGGAGGAGTGAGGAACTTGTTTCCTAAGACTTGCTGGCCTCAAATGTATGTAGAGACTCTCTTCAGGCATCTTACAAAACATGAGACACGCTTGTGTAGCATATTTTTATTTGAATGAGGGTCTTGAACATACAAAATCCATTTGTTTGGACAAGTAAATGGCAGGTGGGGCTTGCCAATATGGGAGTACCTTCCTGAAAGGAAGATCCTGTCCAGAAATCAGAGTTTTGAGGGAGTACACAATACAATTCAGTTGGAATAGAACTTAGGTATATGTGAAAATGGGCTGATTGGGTTGACAAGAAATCAAAGGGAGAGTCTTCCTTTATTTTGACCTATTGGAAAGAGTGTCTATAGCTTGTTGGATTTTCACTGCTGCTTTTACATCACTATAGTGGATAATCCCCCCTTTACCCAATTTAATTATGAACACGAGTGGTCATAATTAAAATGTTCCATTGGATAAAAAAAGAAAATTCCATTTTCTTCTCTTAATTTGGACACACTGCCCCTTCCTAGAGCATCCTCACAGTCATTGATACTAATAACAATATACATATGAACTTATTGTTGCAGTTACTTTGTCACTCATTCTCATTGAGGGTCTTGCTCTCTCTTTTTTTTTAGAGAATTTTATTGGGGCCTCTTTTTTTTTTTTTTAACATTTTATTAGGGGCTCATACAACTGTTATCCCAATCCATACACACATCAATTGTGTAAAGCGCATTTGTACATCG